CCGGTGATCAACTTTGCAATCGGTGATGGACTTTTGCAATCGGTGATGGACTTTTGCAATCGGTGATGGACTTTTGCGACCGATGATCAACGTCCCATCACCGATTGCAAAATCCATCATCGATCGCCGAAGTGCATCAGTTATTGAACGTGCATGCCGCTGTGGCTTAGGGTTTCTCGTGTTGCCCCTGACGGTGATATTTGTTTACGGTGTTTTTGTGTTTGAAAGTGTCTTTCTCAAAAAAAGTTTTTTGCACCTGATGATTGATGGGTGGGCCATCGGAGACAGCATATGGCGGGGTTATTGGGGGGCCTGACCAGGCATCCAGGGGGCACAGGAATGCAATCACATCGTCATCATCATCATCATAAATCCATCTAATAGCCAATCTTGGTATAGATATGTGGGGCCCTCTGGTCACTTAAGCACACTTAAGCGAGCACATGATGGACAGTACACAGAGGAACTTTCCTTGCAAATGTTTTTCCACCACCACCACTTACATCCGCCAGTTATAGTGCTCCAAGGTTTCAAGAGACTATACAAATTACAAGGATTAAACTGTTCGCAAGTTTTAGGATACAGACAGCCTGCTCCTCATATTTATGGGGCAAATGGAACCATTCAATCCCTTGTTTTTCTGTTTTGTTAGGCTAATTTGATACTTGCCGTAGCAATCTCACTGTGTCACGAGGCTATGATGTTTTCCTGACTGAATGTACATCTGTGGGAAGCTATTTTTTTGTTATTCAAGTTTAATTTGCATTTGTTGTCATTTATTGCCACATATATCTCATTTTCATATAGGCCTACATGTATTTCATTTATTGTCAAGCATATTGTGTATGCCGTGGCTTTGAGTTTCTTGTGTTGCCCACTACTGGTCGGGCCTGGTGTTGCCCCTAAATTGTGTTAATACGGTTATATGTTTTATAATATGTCCGTTCTCACTTGCGAACTCCATTTTTTGTAATGTCTGTGAAATGTTTGCAGTTAGTGTATGCCGCTGTGGATTTGGGCCTTTGTTGTTGCCCATATTAACATAACCATAAGAATTAACAATTCAAACGGTATATGCCATATCACAGGTATCCGGAATAAAACACTCCTCTGTGGATGTGGCATGAACAGAATGATTTGTTTTATAATAGGCCTATACCCTTCGGGAGACACTTTAGCGTCACACACTTGGAGGCAAAATATTATCGTCGCAAATAGACTCGATTGCTCGTGGTCGAATTAGTAAAAATTACCCGGCGAATTAAGGTAAAATTGGAGTTACGGGTCATTAAAGTTGGGGGGGGGGGAAATGTGTGCACTAGTTTATGGGAATGTTCCCCAAATAGCCAATTATGGGTTATTATAAGTTATTATTTTTTATCAATATTATTAACATTATTATTATTTGGGTTGATTATCACCATCAAGCAGCTCAGAAGCTGAATTGCACAGTGATTTACAGTAAAAATTGAAATGAATTAAAAATAAACACATTTCACGAGAAATCGAAACACATACGAAATGCACAACAATCCATTATTCTCAAAAACATATACACTCGGATAATAGCAATTAAAATTGTATACATTTGAATATCCTATGTTGAACTATTGATGAGTCTGGGCTATTTCGAAATCTCTTGGATGAACTGGGATACTCCTTGAGTGTTCTACTCGATCTAAGATTCATAGTGTGCCAACTTTTTGATTGAGGGAACCACTCATTAAATTTGCCCTAAAATTTGATTTAAAAGCACCTAGAGCAAAGTTTGTACACATAGTGGTTCTTCTATCACTCTTTTGGATCGACTAAATTAGATTGGTCTGTTAGAGTGTAATGCTTGAGTGCCAAACCGGTGATGCGTTTGCTAGGACTGGTCTAACATAGGGTAACAAGCTTAGTTCTTGGAGTAAAACCAGTTTCTTTCAGTTTCCTGAACATGATTGATTGAGGGAACCACTCATTAAATTTGCCCTAAAATTTGCCCTAAAATTTGATTTAAAAGCACCTAGAGCAAAGTTTGTACACATAGTGGTTCTTCTATCATAAAGGTGATCTAGAGATAGAGTAATACGGCAAACTCTTTTGGATCGACTAAATTAGATTGGTCTGTTAGAGTGTAATGCTTGAGTGCCAAACCGGCGATGCGTTTGCTAGGACTGGTCTAACATAGGGTAACAAGCTTAGTTCTTGGAGTAAAACCAGTTTCTTTCAGTTTCCTGAACATGAATAATTTTCTATTAGCTTTACCAATATTCTCAGCAATGTGTTTCTCATGTCCTTAAATTTGAGTCCGAGTATTTTTTACCAATACGTGATAAAAGGTTTTTGAATAATATGATGATTGATGTGTGGGTCATTGGAGACAGCATATGGCGGGGTTATTGAGGGGTCTGACCAGGCATCCAGGGGGCACAGGAATGCAATCACATCATCATCATCATCATCATCATAAATCCATCTAATAGCCAATCTTGGTATAGATATGTGGGGCCCTCTGGTCACTTAAGCACACTTAAGCGAGCACATGATGGACAGTACACAGAGGAACTTTCCTTGCAAATGTTTTTCCACCACCACCACTTACATCCGCCAGTTATAGTGCTCCAAGGTTTCAAGAGACTATACAAATTACAAGGATTAAACTGTTCGCAAGTTTTAGGATACAGACAGCCTGCTCCTCATATTTATGGGGCAAATGGAACCATTCAATCCCTTGTTTTTCTATTTTGTTAGGCTAATTTGATACTTGCCGTAGCGCTCTCAAGTGTCACGAGGCTATGATGTGGGAAGTTATTTTTTTGTAATTCAAGTATAATTTTCATTTGTTGTTATTATTGCCACATATATCATGTTCATGTATTTCATTTGTTGTCAAGCATATTGTGTATGTCGTGGCTTTGAGTCTCCGCTGTTGCCCACTACGGTTTGGTGTTGCCGTTATTAATACAACCATAACAATTGATAAGTCGACCGGTTTTCCCTATCACTGGTAATGTGGCTATAAAACACAACGATTTGTGCGTCGCCAGAATTTTTTTGCAGAGGGGCAAAACATTTTTCTCCCCGAAATACCTGGGTTTTTCCAGCATATTCACGATTTATCATTTTTCGAGGGTGGGCATTTTTCAAACAATATTACTTCGCGCCCCATTTTCTGTCTTCTTCCCCCATCTTTTTTTTTTTTTGGGGGGGGGGCTTTTCCGGGGGGGGGGGAAGCGCCCCCGTGCTCCCCCCCCCCCCCCCTTGTGACGCCCATGGGTGCGGTCTTTCACGATCGGTGATCAACCTTGCATGGACTTTTGCTATCGGTGCAGAGTTTTTTTTTACATTATCAAAAAAAAGTGGGTGAAAATATCCCAGCCAACCCCCCCCCCCCCCCCCCCCAAAAAAAAACCACCCCACTTTCTTCAACTTAAATATGCTGTGATTTCTGGGCGACGGAGGCTGCCGGCGTCATGGGCAGACTAAGCTTTGTTTAGGTTGTCGGTACATAGGTAACTGTTGCGTTGTACTCCTATTGGAAAATTTTAGTGTGTTTTTATTTATACATTATTCAATATTTTCCTTTGATAACTCCGATGTTTAAGTACCCAAAATGATTTTAAAAAGACTGTGCACACCGGTGAATAATTTATTATTCATTAGTTAAAGAATAATGTAACCAATTGGGTAATAAATAGCGATCTGTTCTGTTTGTGCACTATACAATTGACAAGGCCACTTAAGACAAGCTCGAAAAGATCTCTGAAGTTGCGGCTCGATTGTAGACCGTTGTAGCCTATACATCATGTACATGATGTAAAGGTATGTTCTTAAAATTGAAAAGGATTCCATTATTTTGCTGAACGTCAGTTGGTGCATGGAACGCGTTTGCATGTGGAACACCCAATTTGTGAGCCCCCATGTGAAAATGATTGACCTCGATCGTGCCCCAATTCCACGACTGCAAAAAAAAATGGTACATTTGTAACTGGTTAGTGGAGACCTGAAGCACGTGTTGTTGCGAGGGCTAAAGTGACAAGGTGATTGATTGCCAAAGAAGACATGGCCGGGAAAAAAACATAGAGCTAGCTCTATTTCCCACAGTGGTCTTAGCAGATTGAGTACCATGCTGCATTACAAAAATGTACACATCGAATCATTGCTCTTTGGAAAAACAATGATAATATTTTCTAATCTTAAAAATGATTAATCTAAGTTTAACTCTTATCAAACACACACACCGTGGTTCGAAAATTACATCGGTTACGTGGAAGTAAAATTTATCAGATTTTCGCGAAAGGTATTAAAAAAACAGAAGAGCAAAGTAAAGGCTCTGCGCATTTGCAATTAAATTTAACTTGCTCCAGAGCAAGGAACATAGATAAGTATAACACGTGCAAATGGTTACGACGCAACACACAGATGCGACGGTCGCGAAAGTCCATCACCGTTTCGGTGATCACATTAAATGCCTCTTTGGCGTTCCTGTTTCGCCAAAAGCGGCATTTAATCGGTGATGGACTTTCGAGATCGGTGATGGTCTTTCGCGATCGGTGATCAAAGCTGCGATGACCAGTCGTTGAGTGAAAGTCCATCACCGATCGTGAATATGCATCACCAGTAAAAGTCCATCACCGATTGCGAAAGTCCATCACCGATCGTGAATATGCATCACCAGTAAAAGTCCATCACCGATCGCGAAAGTCCATCACCAATAAAAGTCCATCACCGATCGCGAAAGTCCATCACCGATCGTGAATATGCATCACCAGTAAAAGTCCGTCACCGATCGCGAAAGTCCATCACCGATCGTGAATATGCATCACCAGTAAAAGTCCATCACCGATCGCGAAAGTCCATCACCGATCGTGAATATGCATCACCAGTAAAAGTCCATCACCGATCGCGAAAGTCCCTCACCGATCGTGAATATGCATCACCGATTGCAAAAGTCCATCACCGATTCGATGATCACATTTAATGCCTCTTTGGCGTTCCATAGGGGAGAGACCATAGACATAAAGAACCTAGGTTCTTTATGTCTATGGGAGAGACCGTCTAACTTGCACAGCGCCCGCAAGAGACCTCTTGATCACAGCGCGCGATATGTACTGGCAGTACTGCATGTACTGTATAGTCCTAGCGGCGAGAAACAGCTGAAGGACGGTCTTGAGCTTGTTGGAGAGGCCAAAATATTTAGCATTTGATGAGTCCAGTACGCTAGGAAAATGGCCGATATCAACCCATCGCCTACACCGGAAAGGGCAATTTACGGTTTTGTTCTGTACCTCAGCTCCATCTTCGGGTTTGGTAAATATTATTTGGAAATCAAATTAGGTTTTGCCCTTCACCCATTGCCCTTCATCTCCATCTTTAGCTTGAGTAACTCCAGCTGACATGTTCCATATTCATTCACATGTGAATGAATATGGAACATGTCAGCTGGAGTTACTCAAGCTACTCCATCTCCATTGTTTAAGTCAGCAAAATATCCTGCCGGATACATCAACGCTAACTTGCGCACTGCGTGTGAAAATAGACTACTGGTGCCTATTACTGATAATGTCCCTTGAATTCAGCTAGTGTTACGCTGTTCACAGCAGCCGAGGAGAGTGAGTTCCAGTGTTTAACAGTTGATACGAAGAATGAATCTTTGAAGGCCCTAGGCTAGCTTTGTGACTGAGTTGAACAAATTTTTGTTTTTTTCCCCTTGTATCTCTGGTATTACTATTAGTGTTAGGCTGAACATAGTTGTGAAGTGGAATGTCGACCAACCCATTTTTCATCTTGTAGAGCATACATAATTTCTGTTGATTTCTTCTGTTCTGTAGTGTGTCCCATCCCAAGTCATCCAGAAGTTTAGTAACAGTTCCCGTATCCCTTTGGTAGTTTCCTGTGCAAAATCTAGCTGCTTGACATTGAACTCTTTCAAGTGAGTTAATGTTCTGCTTTGTTGAGGGGTCCCATGCAGATGCAGCATATTCTAAGAGTGGTCTCACTTCACCGACGTTTAAACACTGTAGTGTAGGCCCTATAGTGCTATACTCAGTGTGTTACCTCCTAAGTGAAAGTTGGAAAAAAAAAATTGAGTAGGCCTATACAGTGTTTAAACGTCGGTGAAGGGAAAAACCTAATTTGATTTATATCACCCCCACGCAAAAATATTATTTGTAAAGTTACATTCGCAAGAATCGCAATAGGCCTAGTCCAAATATTTGGGACTCTCTAGTACAGTCGTTTTCCAAGTTCGGATAGCAAAACTCATTCAGGCTGCTTTCAGCTTAACTACTCCACGAATTCAAGTGAGATTGGTTCATTAGTTTACCTTGAGTGATGGAGATAATACATAATAATTTTCAAAATTTAAGCTCTTTTTATTTTGACTTTCTGACGTCAAAAGTACCGATGTCACTTTTCCTAGTTCCGGATCAGTTCAATCAGTTCCGAATTGATCAAAAACTACTTTGCGCAAAAAAAAATCAGAGAAAATCGATTTGGCATACTTTGGTGATGAGTACTCAGTATGTACCCCTAGAACTGATCCGCGGAGTGGAGCCCTATAGACGGCTTACCCCGCAAAATTGTTTGCTTCTACAAAACACTAACTAAGTACAAAAACGTCCATCAAAACACAGCCATTTCCCTCTCCGTACTATACCTCTTGACATACGTAAATTGCACCCAACAAAGATCGGTGTGGCTAACAATTTAATTTATCTGACACCACACTAAAATTGTCTTTTTAAATCTTTGATTTCTAGTATAAATACTGCCTGAAAGTCAAAGAAAACTCACCAAAATTGAGAGGGAAACATGCTTGTTTAACTGATGCCATTTAAATTTGAAACTTGTGTGCAATTTGAAGGAAAATTTGATCAGTGAAATTCTATTTTGCGAGAGAGACTTTTTTCGTGGGAGCGGCCCTTTTGTTTCAACACTTTGTCTGTGATCTGTTTTTATTCCTTGTTTGCGCGAGTGTTCGTTTTATGTAGTTTTTTGTTGTGAGATTTGGACAGAGAATGAAATGTGGCTTTCTGATGGTACCAAATTGGCGATTTTGGTGCATTTTCAAGATAAGAAAATGGACTTTGAATGAAAAATTGTGAATCAAAAATAGATTTTTTGGGTTCATGAAACTTGAGCTCTTCTTTAGAAAAACCTGATGAAAAAGGAGGCCCTTTTTTCCCCAATATGGCCGCCCGACCCATTTGCAAAAATGACCGGCCGTGCTATTTTTCAAGATGGCCGCCAGTTTTTTTAAAAAAATGGCCGCCACTTGGACTAAGGAAATGACGTACCAGATTTATATGGGCTAGATGCAACAGACAAAGAGGCTAAAATGATGTCACTGTTTAAAAGTTATCAATTTTTTTCGTTTTTTTTCTTCTTCTTAATTTAAGAAAAAAGGAGGCGGCCTCCAGAAAGTAAGCGGGGGACACACTAAACATGTTTTTTAAAATTTGGCCTAAAGAAACGTTGTTAAGGTTCTTGCATACTGAACTTATACTAATTTGAGTATATTTGAATTTTCCTTGACAGCACTCTATTGTGTATGGGCATTTGTACCTGAGAAATGGCTTCATAGCATTGGACTCACGTATTGGCCTCAGAAGTAAGTCCTTCTGTATACATAGGCATGACTGGATTTTACATTCAAAACAGGACAAGATCGAAATATTATGTAAATTTCAACAGAAGACTTTCAACATCGCTTAAAATTCTGCAATTTAATATTTGTGAACAGTTGTGAGTCACATCAAAGGTTGAGATAATTAGACCTGAGTTAGTCCCAGATGTGACTTTTGAAGCCTTTGTGAATTGGGGGATTCAGATTTAATTTTGTTGTTTTGACTTGTCGATCCAAGGTATTTATGAATGGGAATAAACATGTGCTCGGGCCATTATCAGTGTCCAGGCCCCAAGCCAATGTAAACGTAGTGACATGTACATAAAACCAGCTAAACACCTGACGTTTATTCCCTTATTAAATAATAGACTGAGAAGATTGATATTCCCTGCTGAATATAATATGAGTACTACCGGTAGTAGGGTCATCCCACCGGGTTGGGGAACAATGTGTGACATATGACCATATTATGAGAAGCATGAATGCCTTGCTAGCAGTTGCTCTACATAATTTTTGTTGTTGGGTATTTCACTACTGCAGAAAGTTTCAAATCATTTCAATGCATTTTGACATATGACAAATATGACATGTGTACCTTTTTTAACATTTCTGTGAAACATTGTATCCCAAATTCACTTTACGTACTTCTTACTATACATGCAACACAATAAGAAAAGCTTTTGTTTTGGTAGTCAGGTATCAAATGGAGCAGAAATGATAGCTTGATTGTGGGCGTAACATTAACACGGTGTCAAACCCAAGTGTCACACTTCCATTGAGTAATTTTGACACCGTTACATCCGCACTTGACTGTTAATGACACATTTTTGACTTTGTCCCTCTTGATGTTGCAGGTACTGGGCTCTGGCTATTCCAACCTACATCAGCGTTGGCTTTGTATTTGTTCTGGTTTTCTTTGTAGCATTCAACCTTATCAATGCCCCATCACTGGATTCAGTTAAAACTGTCACAGGTAGGCATGTATTTTCTTCCACCATGATATACCTGAGATTTTGTCCACAAAAAGTGAGCCTAAGATGTACAGGGTGAGTTAAAAAAAACAAAAAAAAAACGCAACCCAACCCCCCAAAAATATATTTCATATTAAAAAAAAAATATGCAGCACCAAAACTAATGACTGGAGAACCAATTTCATAAGCTACTTTTGGATGAAAACAATTATTGAAATTGCTCCATCCGTTCAAAGAATTTCACCATTTAAACAGAAACCTTAATTAATTAACACTGCTTTCGTCCATTGCGATTCCAAGAATTGTCGACACAATTGTCTTCAAACATCACCAGTGATGAAACCTCAGTTTAAAAGTTACAAATATTCAACAGAGTCCTTTTGAAGGCCTGTCTTAAAAAAAGGTGGATTTTGTAAATCATATTGTTTGCCTAAGCAGGGTTGTTAATAAACATATTGTACAGTTCTTAACAGTTTTTGGAACAAGTATTCTGTGTCATTTTCTTTGTTGTTCCAAACAGTCAGAATTAATACACAAAAAAATTGTTGTTGTTTTTGGACGAAACAGGTTTTAGGGTCATTGCATTTAAATGGTGATACTGTTTGAATGAAATGAGCAATTTCAGAGTTTTGTTCATCCAAAAGTAGTTTCTGAAATTTGCTTTTCAGTTTTTGGTGCCATATTTTTTTTTTAAATATGAAATATTGGCCATTAATTAAATAAATTAAATATCCCCTTAAAATATTAGGAAACATTGTGTTGTAGTGTTTTGGGGTAGTCACTTAGAAAGGCCTGTATCCTTTCATGCAAGGCTGAATATCAGTGAACCTTTTTTGACTGTGGTCAATACCCAGACCGAATGTTGGCAGAAGAAAATAATAACTGGTAACCTTTCCCGTTGTGGGTGACCCAAACTTATCCAAAGGCACGTATTTGTTTAACTCGCCCTGCACATCTTGCAAAACTACATGTACATCAACTCATGATAAACTTACTGCAGTATTACTTGAGCCAATACTCAATTGGCATCATTCAATTCAGCCATCTACATGTATACAAGTGCAATTGCATTTTTTTCTTCTAATTTAAGTTTGGAGCGACCGCCCTACTTAAAATTTAAAAAAATGAGAACCACAGATATATAATGGGATGCCCTTAAAATAAATGCAACAGTGACAAGTATAGGTTGAAACTCACTAATGTCAGTAATTCACAACGTTAAACCACGTGTTTATTGTTGTGATGTCCACCTACCTGTGTCCAAAGGCATCGACGTTTCAGTTGTTTAGACAATTTATTGGGGGGGGGGCCTTACACGTTTTGTATTGCTTAAAATGGTAGTTTAAGCAATTACTGTATCGGTAATACAAAAATACTGTGGGAACATTTCAAAACAATTTTCAAGAAGGCAGATATGTATAATTGCAATTGCATTTGCAATCGAACGAACAATACGTCCTGATGACTGACACCCCTGTAAATCTGTAAATGTTCTCTTAATATGTAACTTATGCTGGGTACTTTGTGATAAACAAGTTTTATTTATAAGAGGGGGTTTGTAAATATTTCTTCAAAAGGTGAAAGGGCTATAAAGTGGATTATTATTTTGTTATGACTTGACCCAATCAGTATGTACATTATACTATTCCTGCATTGTTTACATTGATCTTGAACTCTGTTACTGTCCTCAGATGCTCAGACCAGGCCTGTTGACCCTGATACCACCCTGCAACCCAGCGCTGCCCCAACAGTCACTGACATACCAATCAGTGAAGTCAACCGACGCCTCTATCTCAACACATGACAGTAGTGTACAATATTATCTTTACATGTTGCTTGTTGACCAGGAAATGAAATGAAGATTTCATTCAAATTTTATTCTGACAACATAACTTATAGTTAATTTATTGACATTTTATTCTTGGAAACTGATTCCAAAATAGACCCAAGACATAATGACGTCACACTTTGTTTACATGTGCGCTTTCCCATGGGAGCCAGATGGGACAATTGCAGGAAAGCGAACATGCAAACAAAGCATAACGTCATTATGTTTTGGGTCTATTCAATAAGTGAAATGTAAACGAATTCTTCTGAGTTTGTCATTAGTACTTTGGCCTGCGTGCTGTTTCACTTAATCCAGTTGAGAGCAGTGTTGCAGTCAAGTCCATGACGAGTCCCTACAGGTCCGTCACATTCCCATCATCAGTCCTTCAGTCTCGAGTGACGTCTCTAGCTTTTCAGATGAACTGCTACAAGAGCATTCCTTTGTTACTGTTAATGGTTCATCCTGTTACTTGTGCAAAGACTTGTGAAAAGGATCTCTTGTCCTAACCTCCTAGTGACCTGGAATGTTAATTTCACATGTATGTGATATTCTGTATCATGTCTAAAATTCACTTTTCTTTGTGATTGTGTGATGTTGGACTAGTTTTTTGCCAATCTAAGAGTGCTTTTGATACACTGAATGTCAAGGATTCAGTCACCCAGATCTCATGCTGTGCCGGATGTGAGGTACATAGAACTTATAAGCACTGCAGTCCATGGAGGCAACTTGCAAGTGGATGTGTTGCATGTCAAGCTATGAGCACTGTCTTGTGCTATTCTGATGCACGGTCATCTAGGTATTTAAAGCAAGAGTTTTCAGTCAGGTCTAGATGTTGCTGCTCATGCTGTTTGGTTTTGCATATTTTCTAGGAAGCAAGGCAGACTAGAGGCTTAGTCTGGTGCCATTTTGAATCTGTACTAAGAAGACACTTTTTGACAAAAGACTCTGAGCAGAGCAGTGTTGGGGAACCTGGGCCAATCTGTGGCCCTCACACATCCATTCTAGCCAAACACGTTATGACTGAATGTTTTGCCTGGTGTCCATGATCAATGAATGGGAGGTTTGTGGTAACACCACATGAACCATAAATATATATCTTTTTTACCCCTCAGCCGAGAGGCTCGAGGGGTATTGTCATCGCCTAGGGCGTCCGTCCGTCCGTATGTCCGTTCTGACCATACCCCCCTTGTGGGGTGATGTTCCTTTCAGGACACATCACCCCACTATTTTCACAATAGAAAAACACACCCCAGAAGGGAATCTTTAGAAAAAGGGATAATGGGAACACAATGCTATCACCCCACAATTCCGTCTGGCTAGACCGTCCGTCCGTCCATCCAGGCAGCTTAGTTTCCGGATGATAACTTGAGTTAGAAATGTTTTGGGGGGTTGTAACTTCGGTAGGGGGTTGCCCTTAGGGGTAGGCAAGTTGGGATTGGTTTTGAGGTCACTTTGGTAGGGGGTTGCCCTTGGGAGTAGGCAAGTTGGGATTGGTTTTGAGGTCACTTTGGTAGGGGGTTGCCCTTGGGAGTAGGCAAGTTGGGATTGGTTTTGGGGTCAAAGGTCCAGGTCACCGTGGTGAGTTCAAGGTACATGTAAATGGTTTCCGGATGATAACTTGAGTTAGAAATATTAAAGCTACAGTCCATCATTTGTAATTTGTGCATTTTATTTGTTTGAAGCAACAAAAGAGTTCAAAATATAATGAAGGATACTGAGCAACTAACCTGATGAAGTTTCAGCTAAGCTTCAGCTGTACATTCCGAGAAAAACAGCATTCTAAGATCTCAATTTCAAATCAAAAGTTACTGAATCATGTTTTGAATTGTTTTGAATTGCAGCTATACGCGACGTCGCGCACTGATCCGACGAATTACAACAACCGCGTGCGCGTGTGCGTCGTTCCAATACTTGTGCGCGCTGCGCTGAATAACAAAACGAACTACTAATTTAAATTTTCCTACGGTGCTTCTTAAGAATCACCGTTGGAAATGCCTTCTTTCGTTGATTACTTCAAAATGACAGCTTCCCAGAAAAAATAATTTCACAGGGAGTTTAGTTCCCTTACTGTCTTTCAACCAAGTTTGTTTTTCAACAATAATTACGCCAGTTACTTTTCGGATGGCTGCAAATGATGGACTATAGCTTTAAACTTTACTGTCTAACTTTGGTAGGGGGTGGCTCTTGGGAGTAGGCAAGTTGGGATTGGTTTTGGGGCCAAAAGGTCAAGGTCACCATGGTGAGTTAAAGGTAAATGGTTTCCGGATGATAACTTGAGTTAGAAATGAGATTTTGCTGTCTAACTTTGGTAGGGGGTTGCCCTTGGGAGTAGGCAAATTGAGATTGGTTTAGGGTCAAAGTCTCCGTGGCGAGTTAAAGGTAAATGGTTCCCAGATAACTTGAGTTAGAAATCACATTTTGCTGTCTAACTTCGGTAGGGGGTTGGTTTGGGGGTGAAAAGGTCAAGGTCACCATGGCGAGTTAAATGTAAATGGTTTCCGGATGATAAGTTGAGTTGGAAATGAGATTTTGGTGTCTGACTTAGGTAGGGGGTTGCCCTTGGGTACAGGCAAGTTGGGAGTGGTTTTGGGGTCAAAGGTCAAGGTTACCGTGGTGAGTTACAGGTAATTGGTTTCCGGATGATAATTTGAGTTAGAAATAAAAATGTTGGTGTCTAATTTCGGTAGGGGGTTTCCCATTGGTACAGGCATGCTGTGACTGGTTCTGGGGTCAAAGGTCAAGGTCACCATGTTCAGTTAAAGGTTAATGGTTTTTGGATGATAACTTGACTCTGGCTGAGGGGTTTTAACAGCAACGCTGTTATTTTTAATTGTATGGTTCTGAGAAGAACCAGTTGGTTTCTTGATGTTTTGAACAGTACGCTCTGTCCGACATCAGGAGACTCCTGATAACGAACAGAGCATACTGTTTTGTATTTAATACCACATGTCGAGTTAAACCAACTGGTTCTTCTCACAACCACATAACTCACAAGACATATCATTCACGTGGTATTACTGCATTGTACTTAAGATTGTCAACTCTCAAACCCCAACAAAGATGGTATCCATTGTTTGTATATACAATGTAACACTTAGATGCCTTATACTGTATGTTACAGCTGTGCAATAAATGATTCTTTGAGAACAAAACTGCTGGAGAATGGGCTTTTTATTCAATTCACTGATATGGTCACATGTAATACGGGTGAGATTAGTTTATGACATTATTCACTGGGGAATATATATAACGAGTCATGTATATGAATGGAACTTTGACAAATTAACTCCATGTATCTATGTGGGTATGAACCAATCATAAGATATATCCTAGCAGCAAGTACGTTCCAGAATTAGCTGACCTGCTAATTGCTATCAATTTTTTTGCAATAAGCTGGAATTATGCAAGTTTAAATATAACGTTGAAAACAAACATCAGCATATTACCTACACATTTCACTTTCATAGATAAATAACCATTGTAATAACCAAGTCAGAAGTACCAGTGTTTAAAACTTAAGTCAGAAGTACCAGTGTTTAAAACTTGATCAAAGCGTGTACACCATTATAGAGGGAGACTTTATTAACTCAAAGAAATTGTAGTTCACCCGTGTGACCATAAATATTTTGGCCAAATATCCATATTTTGTGATAACACTGATGTGATGTGTAATCTTTCTCAAACACTATGCTTGACATTTATCAACATCTGAAGGAACCAAGTTTAAGCTCACTTCGTACACAAACACGTATGTATTAAGTCCAGTATCAGCGATACTATTTACTTCATTTACACTTTCTGTACTACGTTGATGGTATGGCATGGAAGTATTATACTTGATATTATACTTGATATATCTCAACAACAATGAAGCACGTGTTTAGTTACTCATTAACAGACCTCCAAAATGAAGGACGGGTGAAAACAAAACACAATCCAAACAAACGTTCTACTACTGTACTTCAAGCAAGAAAAGTCACTGATGAAAATATATTTCCTTTTTTCAAAATAATCAGAAACGGACATCCATGTTGATACCAGGTCAATAATGTGAACATTTTTGACCATGAATATTGCTTGAAATTATTTGATGCTTTCAAAAGCCCCCGACAATCAATGGCTGGAATAAATGCCACAAGAAATTTTCAAAAAAGTTTTCAATAAGTAGTTCCCATAAACGTGTCAGCATTCACGTACATGCATTGACATGATTTCTGGTTGGCAACAGTGTTAGATGTGTGAAGCGTTTCATCCCATGTGTGAAAGCAATCATCACTGCCCAAATAAAGCACTTTTCTTTTGTTTTTATTTCTTGAGATTTGCAAGTCATAATAGAGCTTAGACTCTGCATGGTTCTTTAAAATGTTTTCTAAGAAAAGGAACATCTGTTTGGACTGTTTCTTTTAACTCATCCAGCCTATATTAATGGAATATTTTTTATTACACAAGCATATAAACAGAAACAAAGCTCCTGCTTGGATTAAAACCTCGGGCCCTCTAACTTTTACAATAGAACATACATATATGTATTCTTGGGGTAAATCAGACTTGACTAGGAATGAAACCCACCACCATTATTATGAACTTACTGCTGACCACACAAAGCTGACTTGAATAGAACTGTGTTTCCTGTGCCCCATCTCTCATCTGCCTGATCCAGGGGTACAGTGCTGGCCAGACAGATCAGAAACTAGGGACAGGAAGACATTCCTACCAAGTAAACTTAGTTTATGGAGTCGGCTAACTCGGCTTCTAAGACTGCTGCAGTGGATTATCACTGTCAGCTATTGGTTTGGGGTGCGAATGGGTGTACATGCATTCTACAGTGTGCCTGAAGCTGATGTACTTGTTTGAAGGGATTCCATTGTTTGTATGCAGCTCTTCCACACAGATCTGGATACTGCTATAGGATGCGAGTGTTAAGTTAGATGAATGAAGGCAAGCTGACACTTCCTCATGCACCATGGAGAGGATGGCCTCATACGAGCTCTGTGCGCAAGTACCCCTTCAACGGCCAGAAAAGGAGAGTTGGGGGAGACCTAGACTGGTTCCTTGTCCAACCTGCCACTGCGTATTTTGAATGATCCAAAGTTATTGGGGGTGGGGATTAGTCTGGGAGACCATCGCAAGTTAAATTTGAACATATTCATGCACCGACGACACCCGACACTCACACGAAGACGCTGTGGCTAAAAGCTTTGGCACATTCAGGAAGTCCTCCGTACTCCGTGCACAATAAAGTACGCACGCGCTGTGTGTCCTGTCCACAAAAGTGGTAAAAACGTGCCCTCTTTTTGTTGGCACACGAAGCCCATAGTGCAACGACCCTTCTGATTACCGCAGGGCAAGGTGGAAGTGACAGGGGTCAGTTATTTCAAATTAGATCAACAGTCTGATAGTTATACATGTAATCTCAGTTGTCAGTGCAATTAACATGTATTGGACAAGCACACTTTTTACTTCTCAATCTGCCTGTGTATGCACAAGAGTGCATGAAGTGTGAAGCTATTATCAAAAAGGTGTGTTGAGGTACATGTACATCATTTTGCAATATTTGTAATTTGCCATTTTACTGTGCTCACTCAACTTCCATTCCAGCTCAATTTGCTAAAAGATACATCAGTATTTCCAGATAGGTACTTGTCACAGCAATATTTACTCAGCAGTAAGAGTGTGCATGGCTGTGTCAACATAATTCCACAAGGTCGAGATTTATGCATTTTTTGGCACTAGAGGGCCACAGGTGATGGGTGCAAAAAATGTTATTAATGCTGAAGGGGGGGGGGGTATTGTGCAAGTCCAGAAACTCAACATGTACATTGCAAGACCAATTAGTGTTCCTTGGTTTCTATAATAAACTAGCCTCATGCAGTTACCTGTTGAGTGTGTGGTGTGACCTATTCATCACAAGGGCAAAACGGGGTACTCCACTGACGCATGCATGGTTATACTTTACACATGAACAGCATGCAATGCATGTAACCAATTCTCAACTATAGTCTGAATGCGTACACAAATATACACGAGGCCCCATCTAGTAATGCCCTGTGTTTTGGAACTGCATTGAGGGTTATTTTATTTTTTGATTTGTGTTGTCTCAACAATTAAGGACACACCCATATTGTGAGTAACACGTGGAAGGATATTTTCATTGCTCAAACGGTAATTCTCTTATTGCCAAAACATGAGGGCATTAATAGTGCACCATCTAGCATTTACATGGATGAGTAAGCTACTCACCTTCAGATGTCAATCTGCAGTTCATTATCAACCTTCATTCATCCCATATTACATATTGCAAATTTCATCGCAAGAGCTCCATGGCATCCAATTTACTTCACATTCGTGCAAAATGCATACAATTCGGCAATTTTTACGGATGTGAACTTTCCCACGATGCCTAAGCAGCATCTGATTCACATCAGCTTTACTGTTTTGTGCATCACTTGAATTGTGGTAGAGTTTAATAAAAAAAAACCACCACTGACAAAGACAGACAACTGATAGGTTACAACAGCTGTATAGTGCATTTCTTGTGCATTTGGGCAAATCCAGGCCCTTTCCTAACATAACTGGTATCAGGACGTGTCAAACATTCAATTGTACTAGGTTAATTGAGGTTAGATTGTCAAACATTTGTTTCATGCAGCTAGTTGTTAACAAGTAGTGTCATAGTCAAGGTACTTGTCATGGATCAAGGTCAACTCACAAACTATTCATATATGAACCGTGACGATGGCATTTCTCTGCTACTGTTCATCCGTTGTTACTTTTGACAGGACTTGTGTCCGGACTTGTAATGTACTTGTAATCCATTACAGTACCTTGACTACAACATTGTAAGTAAGTTATGTCACAGGTTGAACATGAAGGTTTGATGAGTGAGGAAATGGGAGTATTGATTATGCAAACACCACAATGCAAAAATCAAAATCAACAAAAAAACACACAAAAAGATGTGAGTGATACATATGGAAATATTTGCCTTTATTAATATGCATGAGGCTGTAGATCCACAACATTCTTGTACATCATCACCTCTATACTTCATTATATGTTGCCAAATTAGTAATTCAAATTCTTTTCTCTCATATCAATTCAAGTAGATTTTTCTAAGACACTTAAATATTACATGTACATATTTCTTCCTTTATGCAGAAGTTACTTTTGTATTTTTATCACTGATTGAGAAATTGATAAGGAAAATTTAAGACAGTTTTTGTATCACCCCCCAAAAAATATATAAACCATTTGTTCTTGATAATGTTATGACTATTTTAGACATGTGAACAATGAAGTAGACACATGATCTGAAACTGAAACCCAACTATGGTGTTGATAATGAAAAACAAGGAAATAAAAAAAAAAATGGTAGACATCGACAAAATGAGGTGATAATTGTTGTACTCCAAAAAATCAAGACAACTGAAAAGAAATTTGAATGAAGAACGTATACGGATTACTTTGGAATAACTACGTTCTGAACGATGACAGCACCTTTGTCATATCCTCTCTTAGCAAGTCACTGCCTACTGGTTTAGGCTCTTGACACAATTCAAACCGGACTTCAATACATGTATAAAACAATTCAGTTTGCAAAGTAGCAGAACATGATGGTCAACATAATGCATGCTCATTCAATCTTGGATCCCTGTTCTATGTATTCATGACACTCTGATTTAAAAAAAAAGGAGTTTCTGTGTAGTACTTGCTTGAGGACTTGACTAACTAGCCAAAATAGTCCTGTGATATAATAATGTCATGCTTCGTTTACAATGTGCTTTTTTATGGGAGCCTGGTGTGGATGAGACTGAGAACCACCAAACCTACGAGAAAGGGCACTTGTAGAGAAAGCATTATGTCACTATGTCTCGGGTCTGTTGGCATTCTCTATTTTCATACATGGTCGATATTAATCCAAAGAATTGTACTGACCAAAGTGAGGATATATATGCTTTATTTTGGGGAAATCATTCCTCCAGTTTAAAGTGAGAATCTTTTCTGGATAGGCACTAGGCAGGGATGGAAGATCAAACATGGTATTCCACATATGGCATGACAAACATATTAATGTGATTGATTGTCAAGCTGATATCATGCGCATGCAAAGCAAAATAAATCACATTCAACATTACAATGCCATGCAATACTAAATACACTTGGGTCTATGGGCTCCGTTTTTACTACATTTTGAGAGCCCTGTCCACACCATGTGTGCGTACTAGTTCGCATGTGGCACGAAGTACACGACTCATTTTATTCCAATGTGCACAAATTCATAGCGTCCACACGTGAGTGTCAGGCGTCGTCGGCAATGAATTCGAGTTTCACTCTAAGTGGTCTCCCCTAACTCTCCCTTCTTAACGTTGAGGGGGTACTTGTGCATAGGGCCCATAGAATGTCTAGCTTACCTTACCATATGTGTTAGTCGACAACAAACAATATCCACGACATAATACAAGGAATTATTGCTGCTAATCAATAGGACGCTAGATCAGCAATAACTTCTGCTCATAACAATTTGGGTCTGGTGTTTCTTCAAGGTTTTAAGAAAATACTGAAGACATCATCATCCCTCAAAAAGATGTGATGGAGTAGACTCCTAATGTTATGCAATGAGGGAGTGCATACATGTATGTGTTGAGATGTTGAGTGCTTGTAAGTGATAATGCTTGAGTTTGGTTAAAACCTACAATGTACAAACAACAGAGAATGTTTTCAACTCATCTTCTCACGGTATAGGAAGATGGAACTAATATTTGCTTTAACTGGATGAGTTTCTTTGTTTTAGGGTATTAGGAGGGAGGAAGACCATGGTAGCTCATCAATGCTTCCATGGCATGTCAGATGTGAATTAGAGAGGAATATAAGCGTGAAGACTCAGGGTGCCTATGTAAACGTCCTTTCTACGCATCAAGTGCTAACAATCTAGACACCAGTGTGAGTGATGACACCATCATGATCTGTTGACAGTTGTTAGAACAGCAACTGGAAGATCCTCAGGTGCAGTGGTAAGGCAATCCCTAAGAACTAATTGCCTAATAAGATTGCAAGTTATATACATGTAGAATGTACAGCTTCATCAAGCACACAGTATGACACAATCCGATGATATCCTTTGTGGAAAGTTTTCAAGCCTGACCTCTGATATTTGTGGAATAAGGTGGTGGGTTTACACTTCTAATGGTTGGACTTAGTATGATACTGACAGTACAAACTTACCAGAAAGTAATAAGTAGAGACCCAAAAGGGTTAACATCAAAGCCAGTTTTTTGTGTGGAAAATTTAAAGCCAGTCTTCCCCTGTCAAACTATTTTACTTTAAAAGTGACCCTCTTAGGGGCACATGTACATGCCAAGTCAGCTATAACGGGCAAGAAGCTTTTCTGTATTTCTTTCATTTAAAATAAATGGGTATCTTTGATTGTTGGTATAAGCTAAAACTGTACAGGAGTTGTCTCTCATGAATTAGATCACTCCTCAACCAGGAGCAGAAGACTGGCTTTCAATCAACGATTGGAACACATGACAGATCAGGGCCACAATCAGTGTGTCTGTCTCGTACTCATCAGACTAGTGACTGATTCCACAACTATCTGTCACAGCTTCACTTGCATCAATGTACAAGTGAACAAACATCTGTAATGTAAACACATATCTTGGCCCTGAACTGCAACATGCATTCTCAAAAACTGGACTTTGTTTTTATATCTGCACAATACTAAAACATGGCATGAGTACCAGATGCTGCAACAAAACTACACTATAAAAAAAACATCACAAACTATTGTGTGTGGCTTCAGTGTCTCTTTCCTCTCTGGTTCCCAAGGGAAGCCGTTCATTAAGACCTGGTCTCGTAAAGTCCGCTACGACTGATGTACCTCACCCACTTGATGACATCGTGGTCACTGTAATTGAGCTTAGACTCAAACACTTTCAGGTAGCGAACCTTCAGACCAGAGGCTGCAAACGGAACCTGGCAAGATTGGATTGGAAATAAGAATGGATATCCCCTGAAGAATATAGGCCACATTTCAATCCGACAGTTGTGATATGACAACCTGGGCTATGTCTGATTATCAGCTTCATCTCTGTCTACAGAATCACTCATCAAACCAAATCCAAATGTTAACACTCTTACACAAGTACAAAAAAAACCCATTTTGTTAACACAATGTTGGACTATGGTGGTCTCCCAACATAAGTATTTTGCAACAATGAAGTCATAAAAAATGAAGAAACACCATGTTCACAAGACTCAGTGTTTTTATGGCATATATGTGAACATTAAGAAGGCAGCTTATCAAGGGAAAATATGAAATGATTTCATAGAGAAAATTTTGACTCGGTCAGGATTTGAAGCATTGTCAGTGACTCTACATACCTCGAAGTTGAGAGAGATTGGTGGCCGAGCCCATTTCTTCTTCTCACCGGATGGCAACAGTTCAATCTCAGCGGTAATCTGAACTTCCTTCATACCACTCATACGTTTGATCCTGAGGAATAGCAAACAAAGATTGAAACAAAGAATACAAGATTGTAATTTCATCAAAGAATAAGAACTGACATCTACATATAAATGGAATGTCAAATGAGTATCATATAAACCTTGCCTCTCTGGCTGGCAAATTCAACAAAGCCAATCCAGCAGTCAAAATAAATCTGCTAAGTGCTCCCTGCTTTCATTAAGCAGCGACACTGACTCGCTTTGATTGTTATGAAACTTGATATAGCTATGCTTTGGCTGTAGGAGATTGATAAGCCAGCTGTGCCTACCAGTCACCTGCTTTTGTCTGTTGGTAGAAATATGATCTGACTGTTGGTGACTAGCCTGCCTAAAATGGAAGGGGAAGTGGAATGAATATTTGACTGTGACTGATCAAACAAAAGGAGGGTTAAAACAAACAAATCATGGCAGTACAGTAGTTCTTTCTTTTATATTTTGTTTAACTGTGATGGCATCAGATTTTCAGGAATGTGGAAATTTGGTATGATAACTAAAGACCAAAGATCTTTTTTAAAGCATACAGTTTAAGCACCTCGCTATTCAAAAATGTATGTGGTAACTAAATGAGAGATACAAATGCAGATGTGCCACATACACTAAGAAAACAACTGCTACCTCCGTTCTTTAAGAAGGGTAATGCAAGACAAATATTGTGCAGATTTCATCATTTTATGATAAGTCTCTTTCAGTTTTTGATAATTAAGTTAAGATTGATATCTTCTTAACCTTTGTCCATTAATTTGGAATTCATCCATGAGCTTTACTGAAAACAAGTAAACAGGTGTTGCACCAACTTGACAAAGCAATGCTTCAGTCCAATTTGTCTGTTGGAGTGAAGGGACATGACAGTAAGGAGTTGGCAACTTAGATGTCATAAATCTTCCAGCAACAAGCCTGAATCAAATACAGCCAACTATCTCTGTAGTTTGACTGTAGACAACTTACTTCCAGACGATGGCATTTTCACTGGATTTGTACTTAGCCTTTCCCTTCATGCACAAGACTTGGACTCCGCTGGTGTTCATTGGAGTAGGAATGCGCACCTATGATCCAAGGATCAACAACAAATACAAAATCATTTTGTCTCAAAGAGTTTACTCCTAAATGTTTTAGTTAATGCATTCTTGCAGAATATTTCCAACCATTTGTTAAGTTAGCCAAGTTTTGAAAACAAGAAATTAAAGAATTTTTGAAATGAAAGTGCAACAGTATTATAATCCCTCCATAGGATTATGAATAGAACAAAAATATCACAAGGCTTCAAATGCTCATTTGGAGAAGGCAATTTATACACCACTAAAAGTGAAAGTGCAAGTGAAAGAAATGTTTAATGTTAGACACGAAAGCAAATTTTGTTGACGTCTTAAATTTGTTGGCTTTGTTTCACTCTCACAAGAGTTCACATAATGTACGTAACATCCTTGATCCTCAAAACAATTAAATGATCAGACCTCGGTGTGATTTTTTTAATGTAAAGATCAGTACAAGTAGAATTTGTCACAGAAACGTTTACATTTCTTGTAAACACTGTGTCGTTTGATGTTTAAATACTGGTGACTGAAACACAACACATTTTTCCAAATCTTGACACAGCTTTGTTGTTATGCATTTGTCCATTCTTGAGTGAGGCTTTGCCTATATTGTGCAAGCAATACTGTACTAAAGGTATACAATTGATAAACTAAATCTTCATCACCGGTCAATACTACTGTCAGAGAGGTCCACCCACGGAGTTAAACATTTCAATGACATTTGTGCATCTTTTTCTCTCATTGAAAAAACAACAACAGCAGACTGAGCTGACACAAATTTGCCTGAATTCAGTAAGTAAATGCCTACAGCTGACCTCAATCTTCTGGCCCAGGATAGATGGCTTGAAGTTAGACTTGAGCACCACCTTAACTTCCATCTTAGTACGGCCAACCTCACGGACTAACGGAATGCAACGGAAGGGTAGACTGATATCCTTAGTGGTACGATACTTCATCAGCTCAAATTCCCCATCTGGAGGAATGAAGCTAATGCTCCGTTCTGACTCAAACTTGCTGAGTTTGACACACTGATGGAAGGTGCAATCATCAATGGCGATGGAGCTTTTACTGCAACAATGTAATACACACACAAAATATTAGCCCAACATTTGCCTATATGTTGGGATATCATCATGGCTTATACCTGTATATACATGCTTATACCTGCACTGCATGAAAGCAGCACACAATGCCTGCCCCACAACATGACAGGTTGTTGTAGCCATAAAGGATTATACATCATAGACTCTTTAAGCCCAAGGCACACCGTTCCAATTTTACCGGATCACGCATCACCAGTATGTTTTTTTTTACTTGCAGTTCGACCGCAACGTTATCCGCACACATGCCCGATATAATTCGTCACAGGATTATCCATCAGATGATGACCAGTCACATGACAGGCATGCAACTAGGAAGTCACAAAAAAAGAGGAAATTCAAATTTTCCCCAGACTTTGTACAGTGTTTTTCTATTTTCAATGGCACACATGGGAAGTGAAAAAAGAGGAAATCAGCTGATCCAAGGAAAATGTGCATGCCTGACATGATGACTAGTCACATGATGACAAAATGGCAGCCGTCAATTTTTAATCATGTGACTTCCTTCGTGAATCTGATTGGTTAACATAAATATCGCATCCGGTGAAATCATATCAGAGTGCTGCCCGCACACCTTTCCGGTGACATCAGCTTCAGTGAAATCAGATGCGAAAAAAATGGAACATGTTTGATTTCATCCGGTTGCCCGGTGTACGGTGAGATCAGTTATAGCCAGCTGTGATGTAGTCCACGTTTTTGTTGACTGTGAGGTGCAAATAGCATCTAAGACAAGTTTTTTTTAAAACATACTCTCACCGCCATAAAGGTGTTTTGAAAATCTGTATTTCAAAAATGAAACATGATAATTGACTTTTGACAGCAGAATCATGCCAACTGGATTCCATTCACACTACATACTATATATCAGGCTGGTAACTTGCTACTAGTTTGAGATATAGGCCTTCAAAAATGAAACAAAATTTGACCGGCACAACAGAAAAAGCAAAACAGTGGGGCGTGACCATATTTTTCAGGGGTCATATCTTACTATCTATTTGGAGATGGCAGCTTGAATGTGTTTATAAGAACCACATTTTTTTTACTTTCATCCAAACACAATACATACCTTCAGTGTAAGTTCCTGTGTTAATAAGATTATTCTTGTGTAGTGTGTTGGATTATGCAATAGTTTATTACATGTACTAACCTCTTGGAGGAATCACTGTCTCCTTTGCCTTGTTTATCCAGTGTCAGTTTGTCATTCATTCCAAACTTGCATTCTGGCATGCCACTCAGATAGCTCTTCATGATGACCTTACCAGCAACATGAGCACTCAAGACTTGTCCTAAGACAAAGCCAAAGATGTTACAGATCCAGGTATGAGACAATACACAGGGACATGGAAATACATGAAACACACAGAGCTTTCTTTGATTAACACTGATATCTCGATCCGATCTTCAGATTACACACAAATGAAAACTGTGTAAGTGCTCATCAATCTTTTTTCTGTTCATTCAAAGGGCATGCATCTGCAAAAAGCATTCGTCGATATGACATTTTCGCGGCACATTTTGTGAAATCTCAATTTTAGGCCAGCATTTTTTTATTTGTTGGATTACGAACGCGCCAACTGTGAATATGACAAGTTTAGAAAAAAAAAAAAATTACCGTTATTTTATTCCTTAAGTGGTATTTTTTTAATTTGTTAAAAGAAATACATACGACTGTAAAGCAATTTTTTCCCCCGATGCAGTATTTTGACTAAATTTAAAAGAAAACCAAAAGACTTACTTTTTTGTTTCCTGGTTTTTAAAAAAAATCTTTTTATTCAAAAACGTAGTGCTGGCCATATTGCAGACGCTTCCCTAATATCTGACCCAATCGCATGCATGCAGGAGCACCAAGCACATACACATTTGTTTGCTCTTTCAAGGCACTAGTGGAAAAAAATCAAAGTGCGTGACGTTATGGATCGCACCACATTAGGGGACTTCAACAATATATGCATACTAGCATTCATGTGTTTGTAAAAAAAAATGTAACTTTAACATGTTATTTTTTACTTTTATTCCATTTTCTGACCCTGTCCAATTTCATGTTATGTTCGTCATTCAACAAATAGAAAAATGCTGGCCTGAAGACAATAAGTCAGAGGGTAAAATTACACCCTTAAACAAAAATGACCTACCAATTTGAGCTGTCATACAAACCTATGCAGCATATATTTACAATAAAAAACATGTTCCGATTAACATGGTACATGGTGAATAAATATCCAATGTCTTGACTGTAGTTTCACTTTCTGTGGGTGAATCATGACAGTAAGTTCTACCTTGTGGTGACATGAGAAGATTGACATTTTCCAGCACATCCAGAAACAGCTCATTGCGCCTGTACTTGATGCCTTCCCTCCGCCAACCAATTTGACCTGTGACCTGGTTAGTGATCTGAGCCTGCTCCTCACGAGTCTAGACAGTCAAACCATGGACAGGTTTGTTATCATTATAAGCAACGGACAAGCAATCATGTTTATATAGCATTACCATACAAGCAACTACTTTTCACAGGATAAGAGAATATGAAGCAAGAATGGTAAATAAGTGTAGATCTGTGGTGACCCCATGTGAAAGGAATTTTTTTTTCTTTATTTGGTTCTAAGAAGAACCTATGGAAACTCAACATTACAAACAGTATGGTCTACCTGCCAGCGATTTCAAGACCAGCAGAGAAGGCTCAGAACACAGCCTGCTAGTATCCCCTTTGTTGTCATGTACATCAATGGCATGCAAACTGAACTCTCTCCGTGTCCACCAGAAAGACAGCCTTGGTTTTTGCTTTTTAATGCATACATGGTCACAAAACCCAGTCACTAGTAACTTTAAATGAGGTTCGTTGTCACACTTTTATTTTAGTATAAACAATGCTTCAAGTAAATTACTAAAGAGTTGGAATTCGATGTATTCAAATAGGTTCTCAACAAATACACCCTAGGGTTGGGGTGTTACACTCATAAGGTGTCATGAATTCAAGACCTACCTGGGACTTGATACCAGTCTGTGTTATGAATGTCTTCAAGATGCCCGTGTCTGTATTCTGGGGATATCCATAGTCTAAGATCTCTATAAATGTACACAATAATGCAGTAGAAACCATCATCAGCATCAAGGCAAATGCAATGCAAACACAAGGTAAACAAGGCACTTAACATGCGTCACTCGGGCAACATGAGAATAAACTAGCTATATGTACCAACAAGGCTAATGAACTAGATACAGTCTATGTTATTATTACCTGCAATATGACCCATGTACTGAATCAGGAATTCAAATCATGCCCAATTCATGTCATATTACTAAACTGTACAACACATTAGCTGAAGAAATGGGAGGACTCCAAACAAAGTACTGACCATAAAGCAGATATATTGGAATAGGGTAATAGGAACACAACAAAATGAGGACTGTTTCTCACCATCCAGAAGCTCATATATGAGCACAAAGTTGTTCTTGACATTGTCCTCATTGATCTTGCCAAAGTAAGAGCTCATAACCTCACACAGCTTCATCAGGAACTCAAAGACCATAGATGCATTGACATTCTGCCGTGTGACTGCTGCTAGCCAGATGTTACCACGCTTAATGTGAAAGAAGCTGGTACGGGCCAGATTAGTGACTGGTGAACGCACCTGCTGACGAGCATGGATAACATTGACACGGAATGCATCTACAGCATGCCGTCTGTGGATATATGGGACAAGAGAAAGACAGGCAAAACAAGAACAAAATGAATTCATATTTCCCAACTGTTGGTTGTGGAAACTTTTGAACAGTCTTTTTGGAATTAATCTGTGAGGGGTTTAAGACGTTATTCTGATTAGTGTATTAGATGGAATATTTGAAATGTGCCGATCAAGTGTTACATGAACCACCTTAAATTGCTTGTGCGGGTCGGGAATTAAATGGGCAGCCAGTCAGGAGTTGCCTGCAGCCTGCCCAATTGGAAAATTGACAATGAGCTAGGAACATCATGAGTGTATGACTTGACAATAGTTGCATTTGACTAACAATGAAACCCCCGCATCTCAATATGGTAACATCACAGACATTTCTGTCATCTTCTTAAGACTGCACACATTCTTCAAAAATTCAAATCAGAAAATATTCCAATCATGCTATTCAGATACACATTGGATGATCGATCATTGAATATTCAGTATACTTGGCACAGTGCTAACTTCAACGTGTAATGTACCAGTCGTTACAAACATTTTGCAATTATAGAGATAATGTTAACAAATCTCATTGCCAAAAGCTCCTTCACAAACACAATTGTCTTAAATTGCCACATTCTTTCTATCTATGGTTTGGTTTGGCAGTACATGAATATCACAAGCAGTGACCATACACTTACACATTTTTTGCATGCTGAATCAAACTCAATTAACATTTAAAACGTTTATCATAATTTCCTTCAAGATACTGTTGGGTCAAGTGTTGTTCTTTAAAGCATCATTCCAATGACAAAATAATATTTGATTTGATTTGAATTGAAAATGGTTTATTATCATTCAACCAAAGCAGCCAAAAGCTGAATTGCAGTCAAATTCCATTATGTATAAACCTTTTTTTTTTACAGGGGGGTGTTGCCTGAAAAAAACCTGAATAGCAAAATAGAAAATAAATTTATAATGAACTACACGGCTCATGCAGAAATATCCACTTTTGTGATATTTAAAAGCATGGATAGTTGCAAGTAGCTGAATGAGCTAGTGTGCTTGGTACTTGGTTGGTTCTTCCTCTAAGTAGGCCTACTCCACAGGGGAGTTTTAACAGGAGGCTAGAAACACCGGGGCAAACCCCTTCTCTAGTCTTAGCGATGTGTTACTGGGTTCTTTTACGCGCATTGCATTACACAACAATAAACGAAGCAATAATGGTTAGGTGCCTTGCTTAAGGGCACAAGTGTCCAGACCTGGGCTCGAACCCACACTCTGTTGCCTCTGAAACACCAGTGCGGTGCTCTTAACCACTAGGCCATGTCGACACTATAAGTAAGTTAATTAATAGAGGTATACATGTACATGTACTCCTTACCCAATGTCATCTCTGAAGACCCTGGAGATCAATACCTCCCCTTTGTGGTTGTATATAAACAGACCGCCAATCATCTTGCATGATCTTAGTACACCTACATGTAGTCATGAATAAAACCAACAGAACAGCAATGTGAATAATACCCTACATAGAATGTAAATGTAAAACAGCAAGGTATGGGGATATGGCTTTGTCCTCAATGACCCAATTCCATCATGTCCGTTGTACCTAAGTTCCTTGCCATTACTTGTAAGTTGCTTGATTTATTATTGAGATGTTTGGCATACTTGCCAAACAATACATACTTGCCTAACAAACATGCAACCACTATCAATTCTTCCAAGCTTAAATAGCAGCCAAATTTACCACTCACTTCCAGCATTGAGCTAATAATAATAAATACCATGTCATGAGCCTAAGGCTAAGCTGAAAATATCCAGCTTGGTCATAGACCCATAAACGTGGCGTCTATAACGCCACACTCCCCGAGTCGAGTAGAAACACTCAAAATATATCCTCTTAAAAAAGTCCATAACATCATTTTTCGTGGATATTAAGTACTGAAGCATTCTGTGAATTTATGCGAGCATAGGATCTGGCATTGCCAAGAAATTTTTGGGAAAAAATGAACTCAACACAACAACTGTACGAGGAGCACAACTTTTGATTTTCTTAGGTCAGGCATGGTATGCTGATACTCTGAGTCGATGTACACGCGAAATGGTAAAAGCCCTCCAGGAACCCATATAATCACGTGCGACGGAGCAAACGGGTATCCGGATCGGGCTCCTTACTCGGACTAATTAGGCATGTTTTTGTTACTAGTGTCAAATTAGGTTTTGCCCTCCACCGACGTACATCAGATTCGAACCAGCCAACTGATCCCGTTAGTTCGGTGGTCGAGTGGTAAGACATCTCCATCACTAGAAAAAGCAGGAGGTCGTGAGTTCGAGTCCCACCAGAGTGATTTTTTTCCAACTTTCACTCGGGAGGTAACACACTGAGTAGGACAGTGTTTAAACGTCAGAGAAGGGCAAAACCTAATTTGATCCGATGTCAGGATTTGGACACGTTTTTCATGCCCCAGGGTGGGAATTTTGGTCACTCCAATTACATTGTTAACATTGGCGTATTAAGTAACTAATGGAAAGGCAATCACTAATGCGCCCTACGTTTGTAAGTCGGGGCATGGTCGGGGATTGTCACTTAAATTTTGCCCGAGGGGTGGGGATTTTGTCACTTCAAAAGTGACAATTCCCATGTCTTGGGTGGGGCAGCCCGGGAGGGGAGGGGTGGGGGAAACAATTGATAGGCGCATAAGTCGTGTAACTGTAAGTGACAAAATAGTCCCAACTGCCCAATCTTGATTTTATCTACCCCAGCAACAGACCTTTCAACCGAAATTGTGTATCATGGCTGTGTGGCTCACTACGGAGGAAGTCCAGTATTTCAGGACTTTTTATGGGGCTAGCCCTAGCCTATAGGCGCGGCTACTCGATCTTTCCTGGCATGTCTGTCCGCAAACTGGGCATCCAAGTCGGCGAATCACGTAATCAAGCTTTTTTGAAACAATTGAGTCACCAATACGACAGTAAACAAAAATAATCAATACAAATATAGCTTTTTAAGAAATGAATTTAATCGATAAGCTGCTATATGTCACCAAATGATGGTGTAAATGATGAATTCTAAAGATAAAATGTATCATTACCAACCTTCACTTCATGACCGCATACCGTACGTTGGCTCACGGACCTCACGCATTAGATTTACGCATGTGATATGGGCGGGCCGTGCCGGCCGCCGATGATCAATCTTTTATGGCTATCGCATGAGGGCGCTATTAACCGCGCACAGTCCTCTAGCGCTACCGCACCGGAACACGGCCCCGACCATCCCGCCATGCACGCACTGTGCCCGGAACATTACTGTAGGCCTATACTTTTGGTTTTTGAGTTTATACCAGGAAAAAATAATAATTGCTATTTTCTAGCAAAACACAAGTTATTTACTTTTGAATAAAATAACGAACAAAACAACCCCCTCCCGTTTAGTTATGGAATAAAATTACTATACAAATTTCAAGAGCGACCACGGTGGTACTTGTTGTAAAGCCGCCGCGCGCGGGCGGTGGAGAGGTCCGTAATCCTCTTGGCTCAAAAAAAAAATCGCCAACCCTGGATTTACAAGATAAGACGAGTTTCGTGTCGACCCTGAACCTGGCCAACTTGAGAGAGTCTGTGACCACCAAGTAGGCCCATTATTATATTGGTAAGGTATGAAAAGAGCCAAAAAGGTGAAAACGAGACTCGCGCATCCTCAGCCCTTATTATTCACGCATCCTCAGCCCTTATTAAAAAAAAAAAAAAAAAAATCGGATTTGGGGGCACGTGTGGTCTAGTCTATGTAATAGACCACGGCGAATGCTTAGACAGGAGATGGCTCCGTGGATAACGGGTGATACTCAGACTACGTGTGGTCTAGCGGTAGAAATCATGGGATTCATAATCGTGAGAATGTGGGTTCGAGTCCCACCGTGGCCAAGGCGTGTTGTGCCCAAGGCGTTTTACCTCAATTACGCCTCTCAACCCAGGTGTTAAATAGGAAGGAAATGATTCACTGTAGAGGAGGTGTGCCCCCCCCCCCCCCAGCTTCGAAAAAGAGATTGGCACTCCGTTCCTGTGAACACAGGTTCGTCTCCTTTTATTATTGACGCGAACCATCCTGGAATCCTTACGGTGGGGTATCTCACAGCTCCACTTTCTAATTTACGTGAACATAAATAATGCACATTGCATGTACATGTACACGTACTATATAGTTTAGTACTGTACGTGTCCGTACGTAGAGTGCGTACGGGCCTGTACGTGTACGCAGTACCGCCCACGACCGGCGTACACAACCGCGGCATGGCACAGGATCTCTTTAATCATCCGCGACAAACAAATAGTGCAATATATTTAAACGATAAAAATGATCAGATTATGTGACTATTCGATATATATATCCAATTAATTCATATTTTTAATAGTTATCTTTGGATATTTCATAACGAAAATCTCACTTTCAGTTTTGCAAATAGTTCAGAAACTGAATATTGTAGCAATTATGCTAATTAGATGTTTATTCATGAGCACCTTGACGTAGCGCATGAGACCCAAACATTCCGAAAACCTCGTGGTTTGTTTTGGGCGATAGAACCGCGAGAAGGCATGGCTCATGTTGCAGTGCTCATCTAAAACAACATTTTTACCTCCAGTAGCTTGGTTTTGGGTAAGGATCTTTGAACATAACTAAGTGAAATATTTGAGAAACATGAAATGTTTCATAAATGTTTAATGCACAGCTTTTGATCTTGTTTGACGAGGCTCAAATTTATTATCTCTGAACTTAAGTCCCCTACGCCGGGCTACCGGCTATCGAGCGCGAGAAGTGGTGCGGGTTATGTGTCCAAGAGGACCAACGTTTACTCGACGTTTACATGTTTTACCTCTGTTTCACTCCGAATGTTCAAACTTATTCCCTCATACAGAAGCTATATGAGGTGAACATCATAGTATGCACTTCAGTTTTAAAGTTTTAAGCTTGTAAACTGGACAAATTGCAAACTGACAACTGTGTTGTGGTGGTTGTTTTGGACGTAGAAGAAATAGGTTCCACGTCACCCAAAATCCGGGATTCCCCGAGATAGCGTGGGGCGGTAGTACTATGAGTTAACACACATGGTTGTTTGTCGTTTTACAAGTATTAAGTTTCAATCAGCTCGATTTTTCTTTGGGAATTTAGTTAAAGCTTTGATGTTTCAGCTGTCTTTGTTGATGTTGAATTTGTCCATGTGGGTGCTCTACATTGTTGTGTTGGGCCTCCTACATGACTAGCGTGACTAGTGTCTCCCTGTTGTTGTTTTTCTCCCTTGTCATTTTTGCGGTTTGTTAGGTGACCTTCGTGTTGGCCAGTAGAATTAGTTGGTGTCGGCGCGGCCTGTTTAGCTGTGCAGGAATACAGGAAGTTGATAAAGCATTGTGTGGTCGGTCTCTTCTTAATTGTGCATCTGGTGCGAGAATGCATTGATTTCAAAACGAACACATTAGCATTTTTTTCAATAGATTGGTGGTTCAATTAATAATTAAATGATTTAAAGAGTGCTATGAATCTGTATGTGACTGAAAAATGTGAATTATAAATGAATAAATATAATGAATGATACCATTTACCAGTGAGAGACTATAATGTTTACTTCAAAATTATGTCAAGATATTTAACCGTAACTTCCTAGGCATTTTTGCTAGGAGTCTTGCTAGGATGTAACCTCAGTCCTGCAAAATCCTCCCACTGTTTCCATGTAAAAATAGCATACAGCCTTAGCCCCATAAATGTGGCCAATTTACTGGACTACCTCCGTAAATAAAGGCCGCACTTCCACCATGTACAAAAACATGTCGAACTTTGTCAAAATTTGATTTTCACATTTAAGCTTAGTTTGTAGTTTATTTTTGCTTTAGAAGCATACTCACCCTCTTTATAGGCTAATCAGAAAGTGCTGCCTTTTTCAGATGTCTATTTTTCGTGAAATGTTTGCGTATCAAAATTTAAACATGAAATTTCACGAAAAATAGACAAAAAAAAGCAGCACTTTCTGATTAGCCTATAAAGAGGGTGAGTATGCTTCTAAAGCAAAAATAAACTACAAACTAAGCCTGAATGTGAAAATCAAAATTTGACAAAGTTCGACATGTTTTTGTACATGGTGGACGTATGGCCTTTATTTACGGAGGTAGTCCAGTAAATTGGCCACATTTATTGGGCTACATACAGCCTCAATCCTCCAAAATCCTGCATTATTTCTTGAATGTGGTCTGAAGGGTGACCTTTGCCTCAATCCTGCAAAATCCTCAAGCAGTCACTGTCCATATGTTGAGGCAGAGCCAGTGACATCCTGGAGCAGTGCGGAGGATTTCAAGTATAATCTAGGCCTAAATTTATGCACGGTCCTGCCTAAGACATTGACACAGTGCATCCTCCGAAATCATCCACACACTTTTGGCATGATGTAGCCTCAATCCTGCAAAATCCTCCGTTTTGCAAAGAGCATTTTGGAGGATTAACCCTTACTCTCTGAGGGTAGTTTACTGCATGTCAGTTGGTTATGCCAATGCCCTCCAGCTGCAGTTTATTGGAGGATACTTCTATGTAGCAGTGAAGGCTCCAATTGGCAGGAGTTGGAGGCCCTGGAGGGTGCCTGATACTGACCAGCTGGGGGCACTCACTTTGTTATCAGAGGACTCTCATTGTTCTCTGTGGCATGTATTGGAATGCCTGTCCAGTTACCCTTGAAATGACATGGCAGATATTGGAGGGCCATGCAAAAAACATAGGAGATTTTCTTGAGGCACATATTGGCATGCATTGGAGGGTCAAGTAGGGTAAGGGTTAAGGAAGGTAGGGTTACTGTGAAATTGTAATGGTTAAATATGTATACGTAATTCATTTTGCAAAATAAATAATTAAAACCATGTGTCTGTTATGCAGACCTGTTTCAATATGGTGGACATAGACTAAGACAGCTTTTCATTACTATGGCTACGTCGTGTATCCACATATTCGCATACGGTGAAGAGCTTCCGGTAGATATACATTGTAAGCTCTGGACAGGAGGTTTGGCTGCATCACTTAAATCACGTCTGCATTGGCACACACAGTGACGTAGCCAAACCTGTCCAGAGTTTATGTCTAGGTCTTTGTGGCATGTAAATACGGAGCCTGTACATGATGTAGCCATAGTACTGAAAACCTGTCTTTGTCTTTGTCCGCCATAATGAAATGAAAAACTGCTACTTCGAGGGTCACAAATTAAGAGACATACCAAAGACAACCATGGGAAGGTCCTAATTTTTGCGAAAAAGTGTGTCGCATGGGTACTTATCACGCATGCTGAGTATGCGGCCGAATGTTTTCCATGAAAAAAGAACACCCTTTCAGTAACTATTTGGCGGTCCAGAAAGTATAGCCTTCAGCACAAAGTTTGGTCCAGTGCATGGCCATAGAATGGGGCTTTTTGTTCATACACCATGAAATTTAGTAAAAGTAGGAATGTAGGAAATATATATATTTAACATTGAATAAGAGAATAAATGTGTGTTCAGGAGGTATTATAACACTCTGTTTAAGACCGGTGGGAGTTTGGATGGGCGATAATTACCCGAGGCGAAACCGAGGGTAATTATCACCCATCCAGACTTTTCATATTCCCATCCAGACTTTTCGGTCAAAAACCAAATCTTTTCGGTCCAAAAATCAAAAAAAGGGAAAAAACTAGATGTTGCCAACCATTTTGTTCAACAATTTTACTTCATGTTTCACGAAACACCCCTGTGACTATAATATGGAATGCCCCTCCACAACTCGTTACCTTATAAGGACATTGGCGTGCGCGTCGCGGGTACTGCGCGATGTCACGCAAAACGCAGCTGGGCTGGTGTAGTGTGAATTTCGGACTATGAAATACTGATTCACTGGTTGTATTGCGCATGCATACGTAAGGAATGTGAACGTTCAACCAATGAAACGTTATAAGGAATTGGATTTCATGGGAGTCCAAATTTTATGTGACACTGGAAAGGTGTTTAAGACCAGCTAGTCATGTCTTTATCATCCGTTTAAGACCGGCCACGTGACAGGCTCTCGACCAATAGGAATGCGTATATATTTTATATCAATTTTCAAAGATGAAATCTAGATATCTTTGGTTATTGTAATCTGATACTTGATGACGTCATCGTGACGTCATTACCAGAAAGCTTGAGAGCTATGTTAACTGCTATTTGAAGCAAAAATGTGCATTATATCTCTTGTGGGAGATTTTTCAGCAATTTTTTTAAGGTTTAAAGCTCCAGTCTGATGACGTCATCAATTTTTTTGGCACACAGGTCTCGTTTGCAATTTAAACATTTTTCAACCTGCCGCCCCGAGGGCGCTCTTACATTTTATGACGTCTTTTGTATTTTTTTAACCAGAGACTAACGTCGTTAAAAGTAAGTTCACATCTTTTTCCACTTTCAAATAATACTGCACTTTGGACCAGAAGGAAGGGTCACGTGATTTGGCACACAGAAAATAAAATGAAGATCCTGGATTATTCTACCAATTCCCAAAAAGTCAAGTTCAGGTCTCTTACGGTTGATTTTATGTTGATTTTCAAAGATTTTCAAAGTCTTTGATTGATTGTAATTTGACACCCGATGATGTCATCATGACGTCAGAGTAATATGCACCACTAGGAGAAAACCTGCGGAGAATTATTGCCCAGAAAAAAGAAAGAAGATTTATCAAAACAATTCTAAACAGTGGCCGTGTTTTGCCAGACCACTCAAAATCCACACAAATAGGGTTGGAACGGTTGAGGTTTGGGTTATTGGCCTGATGTCTGTTTTGCACGTACATGTTTGTTAGCTCTCAATGCTTGTGTTTTTCACTACCTGGTACTGATGGCAGCTACATAACATCTTTTTACCCTCAATAGTGTATAATGTGTGTGGAACTACGTGGGAGAGCCGTCGATGCGTTATGGGGAAGTTTTTATTGTTGTTAGACAAATTAGGACCGAGTTATGGGGACTTCCTGAAGTTCCCATAGCATCTTTGGTGCCCATAGTACCATGGGACAACTCGTGTGTAGTCCCCCCAGTTACCGAACAAGTATAGATTATGTATGTGTATGCAGCCACATGCAGTACTTAGTTCATGAATGGCCCCTAATTTGTGTGTGTCAGGCCAGGGAATGTGAATCATATGTTTTGTCACTATAAAATGCAAATGGTACTTTGTGACAAAATGGATGGTGTTTTAAAGCCAAGGTTACTCATTGTAACTGCTGGATTACCATGTAATATCATTTGTCCTGTCTTGGTCTTGAATAAGTAACCCTACTGTGTGATTCGATGTGAATCACATTTTCAACAATGTGTCATGTTCAGGGTTCAAGGTCCATGTGATGTTCATGCTTGCTGAATAAATCAGTCAAAACAGCCTGGGAAACAATACATGACATACATGTATGCTTACAATCTACATGTACTAGTATTCAACATGCAACAGGTAAGTGTAACAAAATCATACAAAAAGATTTTTTTTCTTCTTTTTAAAAATGTTTTCTTTTGTAATATTTAAATCAGATTTTTTTTGGATTTAAAATCTATTTTTTTGATGTATATAATTTTGTCTTTGTTAAAAAAAAGTTTTGTCCATCAAATTCAACACAAGCTAATATACCCGATC